TTACTCAAGTTGTCCTGTGTTGATAAACATACACTGATGAAAGCAAAATATAATAAATTATTATTCGCCAGGATGGCGTCAGGGATATAAAATATTAGATATTTCTATGCTGAATGTTTTGGTTTGAAATGTATGCCAAGCAGGTACACAGCTATGAAGCCAAATTATTGATCACACAAGTTTATGCTAAAATGATTGATTCTTCAATAATGGCCAAAGGAAAATTAAGAACCGGGATTCTCCAGACTTTTTTCTTACTGGGGAAATCAAATGCACGTGCCTAAAGCATTTATTTGATTTATTGATTATTTGATAAACCGGTTTAAATTTTTAAAGAAGGCTGTAAGTTGTTTTGAATGTTTTTGTATGTTTTGAAACAATGATTAATATTTGGGACTGCATGATATGAAGCATTTTCAAAGTTACAGGATCCAGCCATCAGCAAAAGCCACGTTACATGACTTTGAAAACAGGTAAAAAATGGTGATTCAATGTAAAAAACTAAATGATTTTAAGATTTTTTTAATATGTGTCTGTAATTTGTGCCTGTTTATTATCTAATTAAATAAAGAATGATCTGCTCATTTAAACTTTTGCCAGAATGATTGGTGACATTTTCCGAATCAGATGCTTTACTTTCATATTTAAAGGCTATGAAAATATTTAAAAGCTTTACATCTGAAATGCATTTCTTTTCTCGAAATTTTATCTAACTTTGAATATAGTTTTTTGATATTAAAGTTGTTAGCAAATAAGATGATCGTTTTTTGAATTTTGGAACGAAAATTTTACCCAGTTAGTTGGGTTTTCTAACATGGATTCTGTTTTTTGTGCACTCAACTGTCCATAATTTTCATGCTTCCGGAATTCAGCATTTCCTGAGCTTTCCGAATAGTCAAGCTTTGTATGTATTATGACTGCAAGAGTTTTATCTGATCAAGATCGATGCTGAAAATAATAACACTTCTGGCTACTGCAATTGGGAAAACAATCAGTTTATTACTAATTCCTATTTTTTTTTTTTTTTTTTTTTTTTGTAATATATAGTTGGCAATTACCTTAGCTTTTCATTACATCTCCCAGTCTCATGGTAAATCACCGAATCTCTTGGTTTTTTATTTTTAGTTTTTACCAAAGTAAATGTTTTCCAGCGATATACTAAATGTATTGAATTAATGAAACTGAAGTTACACAAATTCCATCCACCCACCCCCTCGTGATTTTTCAGCGTAATTTTTCTTATAAGATATAAATTAACCTGAATTGTTTTAATCCACTGTAGTGCAAAATCATAAATTTGGACTTTCAGTATTTGGTCCAACCCAGTCCTCCAGACTGCCAGCCCCAAATCCTTCCCCCCCCTGATGTTTGCAAAGGGAGAATATAATTTTCAAGGAAGAGGTGTGCCATAAACATAATTTTTCTGTCTAGCTGAGATTTGTGCATAACACTTTCAAACACCTGCTAAGAAATCAATACAGTAGCAATGCATTGATTGATAATGGACACAACCCCACTTTTGGACCTTGAATGGCTGAAAGGGGTTAGCATTTTGCTATCTAATCTAAACAATAAGTTAAGCCCTCAGACATATTTGGAGTATGATATTGCTCATACTGGGTTTCTTCTGTTGTCATATTAGCAGAGGAGGGAAAAAGAGATTCCAAGGAACTTAATTTCAGATAACATAGCAAATTACTCATATCCTTTGTAATTTGATACAGCTTATTGCATTTTACATGATATTATTGTTATAGCTATGTTTTCAAACTTAAAGCTTAAAAAGATTTTCTAATTCTGCAAGATATGCAAAGCAAAAGCTGTTTTGATATTAATCCAGCAAACAGTGAAATAGCTGGAAAAAAAATTAGATTAAAGCATACCCGTTTCAAAATTATGTAATGATAGGACATTTGAAAGTCAGCAGGCTATAATATAAGAAAAAGAAACTTTTTGAATTTTTTGGAGATCGTGACATCTCACTCACAACTGACAAATGAAAAATTGTTCATAATGCTAAAAGTGATGACTGAATGGGCGAGTCAGTGTTGTAGCAATGGTATGGCTAATGTTAGTGGCTCAAGTCGAAATATTTCATAAAGATGTGTTATTTAAATACGGCAAAGCATACGAGGACTATCTCCTAGGAGGAGGTATGCCTTTGTGGAGATCCTTTTAAGAAATGTTCACGTTGGGTATGAGAAAACAACCTTGCAGCCAACCTATTCACCTGGTTTGAACTCAGGTCCAGCATTACATGATCTTTAACGCTCGGCCAGTAGTGTGGCATTTCATAAGGAAATAGACTTTATTCGATAAGTTTCATAAGGACTAGACACATATTTGATAAGTTTGTTAACGAAATTTTAACATCATCATTGTATAAGGCAGTTAAAAATCGCTGGTTTAAAAGCTTCAGCTGATATGGAGCAACTGAATTTGGGGCAATTAAGTAACAGCAAAGATTCATCTCCAAAATAGATTTATAATGCTGACAAAACTAGTCTTTTCTGCCAATATGTGCCCTGGAAAACTTTGGCAACCTCTGCAGAAAAAAACCGTAACAGGTGTTGAAGATTCCAAAGTGAGTGTAATGTTTTTGGCATGTGCAAATGTAAGCGTTTTTTAACTGGAAAAAAGTACGCAACCTCTGCATTTAAAGAAATAAATATACACCCATTATCTATCATTCAAATGGAAGGCATGAACAATAAATGATTGTTTTGAAAGTCATTTCACAGGCGAAGCTTGGCAACATTTGAGTTTGGTTGGTTTACTAGATGATTCAAAAGTTGTAGTGACAATAAGCAACTATTTGGCTCATACTTCACTTAGAGTTTTAGTAAAAGATAATGTCTCTCTCTTGTTCTTTCCTCCAGACTCTATATCCATCATTCAACCAATGGATGTCTGAATGCTGCATGTACTGCAGTATAGATATAGTTTTTTGAAAAATCTATGTCAAATTTTCTAAACAGTTGCAAGATCATTCAAGAATATTTTAACGTAAAATCTATTATGTGGAACATTGGAAGGATATGTCTACAAATATTTTTTTAAATACTTGGGATGATTTATGGTCAGCTATCATATTTCATGGCGATGATAACAATAGCCATGAATTTAGAGCTTTCCAGAGATACTGCAAACAAAAGGCAATATTTTCTAATTAGTAGAATTTGTGAAGAAATGTAGAGATATGATAATAAATGAAGAGGTTGCATTGCCATGATAATTGCCCTACAATCAACTAATGGATAACAAAATCCATAACATGATGATAAATCCAGAAAATATAGGTATAACAGTGAAGAGAGTGACTGAGAAAGAAGTTGTTAAAAATTAAGAGATTTTGATTGATAGTTTAATGTGCATTCTTGACCCAATAATTAGGGGACTTGAAAGATGAAATTTTGTAACTGAACAAGAAATTATACCTATAAAATGAAAGAAACACATAAACTGTAAACATACAAAATTTGAGGATTTATTCCGTTAAGATCATTAATACTTCATTATTTCATAAACTACTTCCTATATTTAGTTATTTCTGTATGTTTTACTAAATTTAAACTGTTTAAAATCTGGAATCCCTAAAGTTGCAGCGATTCCAAATCTCAGAATTTGTACTGTATGTTCATTTGTAGAACTTTCTATAAAGATTCAACTAATATTTAATCAATAAATATTCATGTTTAATTTTGCCTTGCCTCACTGAAGTGCAAGTTGCTAAATTTATATGCATAGTAATGTTTTATTTAATTATTACATTTTCATCATATTTCATCATATAAAACTCCGATGAATGAAAGCTGTTCTGTTCTATTCAGAATTTTCTCAGTATAAAATTGTAAGTAAATACCAAAATAAAATTAGCCAAAAAACATGAAATTTAGAATATCTAATTAACTATTAATATATTATAAATGGAGAATCACATTATAAGTAGCTCAGTTACCTGAATAATGGATTATAAAGTGAATTTAACCCTTTAACTATGATTTTTTTTTAATTATCCCGTTTTCTATCCAAGTGAACAAAATATGTCATAAATAAGGTAAATTTAGCATTTGGGATTTTTTTGACTAACAGTTTTCAAGCCAAAGGCTGGGCTACATATGCCCCAGCCATAGTAAATGGTGGAATGCATGTCTCACACGTAGCAATCGACTTACTTTAAGCACACCTATTATTCTCGAAAACTTTATTATATAAAATAGATTTTGTGTTCTATGGTGCAGGATAAAGCATTTCTTTGCATAACCCAGCATTACACATTGGCCAACACATATTTGTTCTTTTCTCTGTGTTCATTTGTGGACAACGACCACAGCAGCGTCTTGATTTCATAAATATTGGTAGGTGATTTCCAACACTCGGGAGATTCTAAATGCTTTTTAACCCAACAGTAATTTTTACACTTTTAGTGGGACATAGATTTGCCTTTGTATTCAAACGGTTCATTTGAAGTTGTTTTAAAATGACATAGCTGGAGATTGTGAAAACCTCCCATATACCAGTTTTTCATACTCAAGATTAGCATCTATGTCATACAATCAGTGTATTCAATCATTTAGTATCTTGGTTCGGTATTCCCAGACTGGCTTAAAATTTGTAATCATGAAATGTACCATTTAATAGGACATATATCCCTATTGTCATAACTGATCAAAATTTGTAATTAATAGCATGAAAAAAATTAAAACATACTTATTATTATTCACGAGAAGTACTTTTTTCCTTCGCTGTAACTTTAACATGTGATAATCTTATGGAGGTTTCCTAAAATTATTTAAAAAAATTGTATTAAATATTGGTCCTTAATCGTATGAAAAGGAAATAACTTTGCATGAAAACAGATGGCGAATGAGATATAAAATACTTAAGGTACAACACACTGTATTTTAACTTTATTGTATGTTAATGCATTATTGCCATTTAATGCATTTGTCTGTTTGTTACTATGTCTTTTTCTTTATTTAAATTCTTTTAAATATTAGGTAAATCCAGAAATTCAAGAACTGAAACTGGTATGAAACTAAAGGATTTTCCAATGAGTAAGTTTTATTTAAAATTCTCTATATGTTTATCATATAATAAAACCTTCATTAATTGAAGTTCCAGTTATTCACAGGAATCCTGTTAGCATAATAAAATATTTTTCTAGTAAATCATATTAGTTTTAATGTTGGTATAATAAAATTTTTATATAATGCTCAGTAGTAATTTTGCTCTTCTGAGCATATAGGAAATCTGTATCATACAGGTGGTGTCAATAGCATCAAGAACGTTAATTTATGTAGCTTCCTGTCTATGCAACAAAATTTTGGCACAGATCACATGAAAGATTTCTCTTTGCCAATACTTTGATGATTATACAAATTTAGAGCATTATAGTAAAGAAGTAAGGAATTCTTAAAACGCCATATAATTGTAAGGAACATTTTAAAGAAAAATGCAAAAGAATCAAATGTTTCAGTATTTGCTTTTGATGTTTTTTATCATTCCAACTTTAGTTTGAAACAGATCATTCATAGTCTACTATAACATCAACAGTATATAATTTTATTCTTTGCACATATCAGCACATGAGAAATAAAACTGTGCAACCATTATACAAGTTAAACGTTTTACTGTTATGCACATTTTTTTTTTTTTTTTTCAATGGTACAGCAGCATAGGATGGCCTTGATCTTCTCTAGATATGTGCCTGGGCATTTTTTCTCTCTTCCTATCACTGTGAATAAATTCCTACATGTAGACGATCTGCCGATTACTTTTGAGAAAGTAAAATACTTTGATAGGTAATTGCAACTAGCATTAAATATAATGAAATGGTTTATTAAAAATTTAGATTTTTGAAATAGGCATATATTTTTGCCAGATGAAAGGCCCAGAAGTTTTAATTAGAAGATCCATTCATCCCTCGGAGACCAGAGGTGAAATTTTTTGGTATGTAATTGCAAGGTTCCACTCTAACTGCATTTAATCATTTGCACTTTTATTTCAATTATTATTAAAAGCTAGACTCACTGACAATCAGCATAACATTACAGTGCATAGAATCCAAGAGTTGCAGAAGTCATGTTTGAAGGTTTCTCAAACTTAGATTCCTACTCATTATTTAAACTTGCATAATTTATATTCTAGGCAGAGCTTATGGAAAATAAAAGTGCAGGAGCAATTTAACTTAAGAAATGATGTAATAATTAAAATTTACCTTTTATGAGAGTCATTAGGATTTTTGAAGTAAGAAACATGAAAAATGAGCAATGCCCTCACCACGACTCGAACCTGGACCTCTCGAATAAGCGCCAAGTAAGCATAACCCTGCCTCATATAAGCGCCGTGAGATGGTGGACAGTACTACGGGAGGTATAGACGTGGCTGTAGTGTGTTGAATAGTCGACAATGATACCGTTGGGGCGGATCGGGCTTGGCGAACAATCATCCTATCTTGCCTTGCATTTGTGCTCCTTGACTTTCCAGAGCCTTCATTTCGTCGGCAATTTCCTTGTAGCAACCATTGCTGCCGACATCTTTGCACAGCAGTGTCTGTACACTGCAGGTGGCAGCCTATTGCTCGGTATGACCACCCAGCTTCATGCAACCCTACAATGCGACCATGTTCGAAGTCGGTTAGTTAGTTGTCTGTAAAGTCTTCAATATTGTCCTAATGGCATCTTTAGTTGCTTCTTCACGGAATTACAATGGCAGCAACAACAAAGAAAAAAAAAAAAGATTTTCTGCCTCTGTTACTGGTTTTATACTTTGTGAATTGAACGCTATAATCACAATTCCTGTTCATTTGCCTTGAAACTTTGGTCATTTGCATCTTTGATCAAGATGTTTTTGCATACCAAACTTTGTCATGATTGCAAAAGTCCTTCTTGGTGCTTCAGTTTTTTTTTTTTTGCAAAAGAGTGTATGTTCGTTTTATGAACTCTTGATAAACGTGAACGCTGGTTTCGAGCTTTGGCAACAAATTTCGCGTATGCGCAGCTGTTTCCCTCTACGTTGGGACGGATCCACTGTTGCGGAGAAGTTTCCCTTCTTTTTTAACAATACATATTCTTTTTATACAGTGGGCATGAGATTTGCCGTCATTATGATAAGCAGTAAATGGGTCTTTTCAGTGTTGGTGACAATATGCAAAATCATGCCAGGGCCATAATGTATACTAAGATTTTACCTCAAAATCTTTTAAACTGTTTTCTTTTTAATAAATTCCTTATTTGTCATTTTGTAGTAAAATAAAAAATAGTAATCGGTCATCTAAGTGAACCATTTATTATGACTATATTCGCCAAACTATCGCTGATTATTGTAACTCAATTTTTAAGTAATTTATTTCAATGTTATTCGTATCATTTAATGTACTTCTTCCCTCTAAATTTATTTATTGTTAGTTAATAATACTTTCAAATTTCAGGCAATTTTCTCCTGAAACCAGTTTTAGCAGATGATGACATACTATCATGAAATTTAATCCACATATATTTTGCTTATGTATGTTGTAAAATAGATATAAAGTACAGCTGCAAAATATCTGCAAAAAAGGGCATTTTTTAATCCAGATTGTGCAGATTATAATCTCAATCTTCAGTGGCAAAAACAACTCCTATTGTAGTTATAAGAGTAATGCTTTAGGGATTATATATACAGTCGTATATAATTGGCAAATTTTTGTGTTTTCAAGTGGTACCATGATTAATTTACCTCTAAGCCACACCTCTGTGCACTATGCGAACAGATTGGAATTTTTTAAAACCACACCTGGAAAACCTGGAAAAGTCGGAGAATTTCATTCTCCTCTTTGAGTTGCAACGCTGAAAAAAGCATTTATATGTCAAAAATAAAGTACACAGAGAAATTTTTAAGTAATTAAGAAGAATAAGAAGATTACAATTACATTGTAATGTTGGCTTTTTACACACCAGTAAGCATGAGCGTTAAGCTTATCTTATATAAAATACCCCTGCTATGTTCACTTTTTTAGCACATATTGGTAGTAATAATTATTTGCTTATAGCTCTATGTTTTGTATTTATTGAAGATAAAGATAGCAAACTTTACTTGCCTTTTGTTCATGGGTTCAGAAGCCAGGTTAAATCTTCGATATAAAATCTTATATTGAGGGATGTTTAATCATGTATTAGTTAATAATAGAAATGTGCATCTTTACACAAATCACATTTATTCAGTTTTGATTAAAATAATAAAAAGCGATGGACACATTAAAGAAATAGACAAGCTGACAAGTGAGAGTAATAATAATTAAGAATAGAAAAAAAGGGGGTCATGGGATTTTTGACTGTGGTTGGTGTGTGCCTTGGCTTTGCTAGGGTTACTTGAAAGAAGTGAGTTATAAAAGATATTTTTCAAAGTGCTTGATAAATTTACAACAATCCCTCCTTTGATCATACTTTGAGGAAAAGGGGTGGGCATTTGAGTTTATATTAATAAGTAGTTTGTATCGTACTTTTTGTTTGTTTCATGGTTCAACCTGAGTGATGAGTGTAGTGAACTCTGGATATGTTAGTATGGCAGATCCAATGCTTCAATGAAGGTGATGTTTCATCTGCTTAATAGCCAATTCCCACAAACCGCCAAAATGAGAGGCTGCTGGAGGATTCAAGATACATTTTATATTTCGGAGGCAATATAAGCTCGAACTGATTCATATCATTTATATTTTGAAAACACTTCTGGATCTCTCTATCAGCTCCTTTAAAATTAGTGCCACAATCACTAAAAGTCTCTACTGGTCTACCTCTTCTCGCAATGAATCATTTCAGGGATTCTAAGAATGCATTAGAAGAAAGATCTTTGCCAATTTCTAAATGGATAGCATGCTGCATATGTAGCATTTTAAAGAACTTTGACCATGTCCAGTTCAGTGTTTGATCATAAAATGTCCAGCGAAGTCCTCACCAATACAATAAAATGTTCTAGAATATGTTACACGTAAGACAGGTAAATTGGACATGATTTGTGTTGCAAGTTTGGGTCTATATCTGTGGCAGATAAAGCAATTGTTAAGGCCTTTCTGAATGGAAGATTGAGCAGATATCATCCAGAAGCTTTGCCTCAGAACACACATCAATAACTGAGATCAGTAACTGAGGTGCAGCATGTAAATACTTTAGGTGAAAAGTTAAATAATCAATTCGTCTATGAAATGCTTTTTAGGAAGAAAAATTGGATGTTTTTCATTTTCCGGAATATTAACATTTCCTAAACAACCACCGACACACAAAACCCCTTCTTTGTCTAGAAATGGATTTAAGCAAAGGATCTTACTACTCATTTTTAAGGGGAGTGATCTAAGTAAATGCAAAATTTCTTCCTGGAATTCAGAACGTTGTATCACCTTTAGAATTTTGCTTTCTCGCTCCTTTGTAGTTAGTAAATCTAATGATTTCTTCTCAGAATGAGAACAGATATTCATAAATCTTACACAGTAGGTCAAGACATGAAGTAATATGGACCACAAAGAATATTTTGAAATAAGAACAGGTCTTGAACTCCTAAAGCACTAGTGTTAAAACTCATCTTTTCTTTTTTCAAGGCAGTTTCAGGAAGAGCGTGTCTTTATAAATGAAAAGTTCTGTATTTCATCTATAGATTTGCTTAACCAGTTAGGACCTCTGAACCATTTTTTATAATTTGTTAGTTGAGAAGGTAAGACACCTAAGTCCGCTGGATTATTGATTCCTGAAACATGACACTATTTTACTTGAGAAATCATTGTCTGAATCTTGGACACTCGTTTTCGACGAGCAATTGCCAGCGATAAGTTTCAGAAATTAGCCATACCAGTGTTATTGTTGAATTTGTCCAAGCTATGATGTGTTTAACTGGTAAAGGAAAGTTTCTTAAGAGTGCAAGCAACAAATTTGCTAGCAATAAAGCCAAACATAATCCTAGATGTGGCAGAGATTGGGATGACTTGGAAGAACCATCGTAGACAACTCTCAATCTTGTTGTAGTGCTTGAATCATGAAGAACAGCAAAATGAGGAAGGTAGTATGCATTTGTTTTCGTAGACTCAGATTATGGAATCAGTTCCATATGTTCTAATGATAGATATTCATGCATAAAATCTTTATATTGTTAGTATTTTTAACTGTTGAAAGATAAGGAATTTTCCAAGTATTTCAATCTGGGGAGGGCAGCTGTCTCGGATTCACTGAGCTGAGAAGGTGCTGTATGGAACGGCAACATCACAGCATATCTTCCATCAGTAGCTCTAGAATGCATAGATTTAAAAGTGCTCTTCAGACTCATCACTTTTTCATCATGACTCAAGGGAGCTTACAGTAGGTACTTTGTCTAGTTCCCAAAATTTATTTAACAATTTATCACTGATAATTGAATGTTATTAACCTGAACAGTTGAATTTTTCTCACATGAGAGAACCCTGCTTGCAATTAGCCATCTCCAAGTGAGTGTCTGACCTTTAAGCATTGAAAGTGCTATATCCGCACCAAGAAGAATATCAGTCTTGTAAAAGGTTGGATCTGCTAAGTTAGGATCATTGAAGTGTTTGGAACCAGAAGGATCCAAATTAACATGCGGAAGCTGACCCACTATTTTCTTGGCCATGTAGACAGGATTTGAAAAATGAAAAAAAAAAAAAAAAAAACAGAGGAGAACCCAATTTGAGAAACACCATTTGTATGAGTGTTTGATGCACCCAAACATGAAATTATCACATTTGTTTTCTATTTTGAGAAACTCTACCTTTCTAGGCAATCGCTTGTGTGGCTGTATCCTGCTGCCTGTATCCAAAAGAGCATGACAAGTAGAAATTCTGCCAGAGGAATCCATTGCATTCACTAGAGCCATACATAGTAGCACATGGGTATCAGAGCCCAAGTCTGAGCAACAAGAACTAATGGAATTTGAAACAGTTTCACATTTTGCATTGAAGTTATTAATTAGTTATTAGCATTAATTAGTAGTTTTAGAATTGGAAGGGTCAAACAGTTTAGCATCCATAGAAAGACCATATGGATTAGTTGTATTCCTTGTTGGAGGATCAGTGCTACCTTCAGTGGTGTCATCAAAATGCAATAACGTGTGAAGGGCTTTCTTACATTTGTGACATCTCTGTGCAGAGAACCCTGCAGAGGTAAAATCATGTTAAATAATGGAAGCAACTATTTTTCGATTTTACAAAATTTACTCTTTTTTTTGGACAGACAACATGAGAAATGCATCACATTTAGTCAATACATGACTTAAGCAGTTAACATGCTGTGATTGAAAACCTAAACCCACTAGTTTAACCTGCTTAGGAAAAGTTCTTTTTTGAATCTGGATTGTTAATAATTAACGATCTAGCATATTTTGAAAGAAATTGCAATAGTTCACTCAGGGAAGGAATTTCATCATCTGTAATGAACCGCTTCCTCCAGGCTTTTGTAACTGGATCTAATTTAAACTGCACAATAAACATGAGAATAGTATCTGCTGCATTTTCAATTTTCACATCCAGGGACTCTATTAGTCTATAGATATTTTTTACTTGAATCAACTAGCTAGAGAGGACAACTTTAAGAATTTTTTTATCAGTGAAGACAGTATCTCACGTTTATATGAAAATATATCTCTGCAAGGTAATACCAAGCAATTTGGAAATTACTGTCAGTAATAGAGAGTGATTGTACTATGTTTTGAGCATCCCCTTTTAAATACTGTGACCTCTGAGCCTCAGACAATCTTTGGTTTTTTCTTACAGCTGCGTGAAACAAATCGAAAAATGTTAACCATCCATCAATAGCACCAGAAAATGTAGGTAAGGACAAAACGGGAAGTTTAATTTCAATGGAATCGGATGATTTCGTCAGCACTGTTTGTGTTACAACTGCAGAATCAACTCTACTTTCTTTACATCTTAATATTGCTGTATCTAAATTAGCTAACATTTCATCATACATTTCCAGGGTTCGTACGATCCTTTAAGAGTTCTTAAGTTTTTTGGAATTGATTTTTGGTCCTTAAAAGTCTTTAATTTTGGCCAAGATTGGTAGAAGCTCCTTAGTTTTAATCATCTGAAATTTCTCTCTGTTTTTGCGACTGCCATTTTGAGTGTGAATTAGCATTTTGGAGGAATATTTTTGATAATTCGCTGACAAATCTCGTTATCTTTTGAATGGGTGAATGCGT